AATTGTATCTGTTTATAACGAAGCCACGCCGTTGAATGCAAATATTTATCCGCTTTTTTCCAGAATCTGTTCGAAAAAATGCTGAACTGCCTCGAAATTTCACTTTTCTCCCATCTGAGTAAAAGAAACCCTTGCTAATCGGATGTTTATGAACAGAATTTTTTTTGGAACATTTTGATTTTGTCCCTTATAGAACGTCTAATATGCTTTATGGATTAGAACGTATTATAAAAAGTATGTAATAAAAATTGGAACATTTTCCAAATATCTTCAAGCATGTTTATCTTTTGGTGCGAGACTTATGAACTAGATTTATAGTTTCGTCACTACTTTTATATTTTCTGAGCTCTATATTTTTTGGAATATTTAAAATTATTAGGATGACTCACAATTTTTTACCGTTGTTACCTTAAACACTTTTCGAGAACTTGCGCACCGACAAAAGATACATAATCTATTATATTACTTCTGTGTGTCTGAGCTATATGATCACGTGCATGGGAGGAGCTCAGAATGTCTAGGGGCGGAGTTTGTCATTTTGCTCCGTTCATTTTATTTTATCATTGCCATGGAAAAGTGCGAAAGTGTAGTTTGAATGTTCGATGTGTTATATGCTAGGAAAAATGGGGAATTTTTGAGATTTTTTTGGGCGGGGTTACGGTTTTTGATAGTAAAATTCATTTTCGAGTGCTATCAGATTTCAGCTCAAAACTTTATGTAGAATATGATTTGAGCCTTTTGATAGCCGTCTTGTAGAGTTTGATTTGCCCTGTAAAATAATTATTACTCAAGCCACATCAATTGAATAAAAGATAGATACAAAAAGATGGCAGTTGTAGTAAAAATGGTAAAAAATTATGAGACACCCTAATATTAGGTTGTTGCATAAGTTCTGTCCGATTTGAATTTTTTGAGTTCAAAATGTCATAACTTCTTTCAAAGTCATCTTTTTTCCAAGGTCTTAGTTTCTATGTGTTGAGCAGTTCCTTGGCTATAGAACGCATACTGAGACCTGCGCAAATCCTTGTTAAGGAAGAAGCAAGAATGCAAAAACTTCGCAGCCTTTTTCTTCGAATCTGTCTTTTTTGACATGGTAACGCTCCCTTATGAGAATTGATAAGCATCTCTTCTAACGATGGATAGATAGAGAAATTTTCGTAGATTATTATGCAACATAAAAGAGCCCATAGGGTCTGCGCTGCCGAGAGATTTTTTTGACCGAACAAAAAATTAGCCACTTTTTGACCTCGCTTCAGCACATGTGTGCATGCCTATTTATGAATTATGAGCATTTTATAACTGAAGTGAGCGCCGAAAAGGAACTGCTGGATGGGCCCTGTCAGCTCTTGCTTTGCCCTAGCACCTCCAACTTTGAGCTTATCGATTACTTCTATTCGCAGAAAGTTATTGCTGTAAAACATCTATACCAAAGATTAATGTTCGACGATAAATTTTACTAGCAAGACGTTTTCTTCATGGAACCGAACTTCTGCATATACTAGCATTCTATACTCTTATTCCGCAGCCAATGAAAGAACTTGACTTGAAGGGCGCATTGTGGAGATTTCCTCGCAAGAACATATTTCTAGGGTGAGAACGTACCTCGGCCACTTAGAGATTTTAGGCCTGAAATCTCCGCACACTAAGAAATTTATTGAAATCTGATATGCGTTAGAAAGCGCAAGGAAAGTCAGTGATACCAACAATATTGCATTAGAGATGAAATTCTCTTAGAACAGCTGCTTCAAACATGAGGCAAAAAAAATCGGACAGAACTTATGCAACAACCTAATATATGATCAAATCATGAGAGCTTTGGGATACATTTGTCTCATATCCATATGATTTTTTCTTTTCTTCACTGTGTGGAGCCAAAGTGTGCAGTGCGATTCTGTGCACTACTGCACTTTTTCCAGAGCCACTGCGGTAAATTACCCTTTTCCTTTCAAGTGTCCATTTCCGCCCGAAGCGGGCTATACCCTCCAAAATGACGCGAGTCCGTGAGAGATTCTGGGGCTAAGATAGGGCGTGGGAATACGTCACGTCCAGGATGCTTATAAGGAGAGTGGGCCGTTAGTCCAGTAGCTCTTCATTTGCAGTTAAAGCGCAGTCCATTGTCCTAAAGGTTCTTTTACAGGATAGAAGGTAAGTGCTTCTCCAAATGGACTCTACCTTCACGTCATAAGCTGAATCGCCTTATCAGCCTTCGCTTCCTTATCAGTAAGCTTAACATAACACAGCTTTCTGCAAGTTCTTCCTATCAGCCAAAAAACTGAACAGCAACACGAGTAGTGAAAGCTCTTTTGTGGGCAATCAAAGGTCACAGTTTTTCTCGACTGTTCTGTGTTCTTCCATTTTCTGTTGTCTGACCTTGCTCGTAAACGGCGTAGTGACATGTGACAACTTTTCGCGTGAAGTCAAAATTCCATAGTCTGAAATAAAGGGTTAATAATGTAGCAAACCAGCTCCAGGGTTTTCCGCTGGCAAATCCAGTAGATCTTCCAATATTTTGAGAAAAATCGAAGTTGCCTTTTTCGAGTCTAGAATTGATATTTCTCAAAAAAGAGCATTTATAAGGCCGGAAATTTCTTGTTATTTCTCATGGACTATCATTATTTGCTATGCATTTTAACTACAAAGCTTAAACATGCAATTATATCTATTTGAATGCGTTCAACAAATTTTTCATAACTTAAATGAAAGCCGCTTTGTCGGGTTTTTTGGCTAAATATGAAATTTTTTTGATAAAAGAGCCTTATAAGTCGAAATTCTATAGCTGGGATTTCGAGTGTTTATAGTGCATTACTGCATATATTGGAGGAACTTAAGATTGCTAGGGTCGGAGTTTGCCAATTTCCTTTCTCCATTTTTTATTTGATTTTTGACCTTAGAAAAAAGCAAGCGTTTATTATGGATGAGTGCATGTATGGATGCATGTATCTGCTATGGAGTAAGTGAGAATGCTTTGGGATTTCTGAAGAAAAAGTTAATTGTTACTTCAAGAATTTTTACGTGGAATTCTAAAAATCTGCGTTAATCACGACTTATGCTAATGTTCAAAGAGTATCTTGTAGAGTTTGTTTTGCTTTTTCGAATTGGTGCCCCACATTACTTTTTCGGGGTTTGTCTTGTGTTTCGCCATGGAAAGCGACCTTTTTGAAAACTCGTATTTTACAGCTTTATTTTTCAACATTACCCTTTCTAGAACAATCACAAGAGATGGTCCAAATCTTCTGCAAACTTAAAAATTTAGTGTTCAACGGTCTAACTTGTTCTGTTAGATCATAAAAATTGAAAGAGGTTACCGCGATCAGATTATCTAAAGTATTTCAAAGTGGTTGTACGTCAAAGATTTTAGAGATTTTCGCATATTTTCCAGTTATTCAAATTTGCACATGACTTTTGTGAACTATAGAAGTGCCACAGATTGAAGCGATAATCTCGTAGTGGGCGAATGTTCTTCGCATATCGACCTAACAGTTTCGAATGTCCTAAGCTATATGTAGTTCTAGGTCTTTATGCCCCCCCCCCCTCCTGTTTTATCCACGAGAAAAATTTTTGCAGAAGGTAAATTTTTAGCTTTTTCTATTCTATCTTGCTTTTATGCCATTCTCATACTCCGACTTGCTTTATGCCTGCTAAATCTTACCCTACCGTCCCATCCACAAGGGAAGATTGAAGTTACCGAATATTTCTTCTCCTACCACATCAGCGTTCCCCGTAACTCATTTAACTCATTTGTATTTATCTTTTTTCTCATTCTCGCGTCATTCTCTTCATATCTAAGTGTTTTATGCTCTCCCGCTAGATGATTGTGCACATATGCATCCATTACTCCACGACAGAGAGCCGAATACTCAAAGCACGAGTTTCCTCTCTCGGTTATTATATGGCTGTGTTTCTTAGTTGATAAACGGCTGTCTGGTGATGTCATATAGAAGGTTTTCTGAGATTGTGAGCATAGGTTATGCTATTCAGGTTTCCGTCAACACAGGAATCTTTATCATAGTGAAACTTATCTTATCTAATACAAATTTTTCAAGCTTTTGATCCAGGATGTGAAATGCAGTAGATGATGTATAGAAAAATGCTCAGCACGATGCTGTTTTTGTTTCTCGTCTAAAAAAATCAGCATAAATGATGCCATCAATCTCTCTCTAGCTCTTCTTACTTAAACAATCCCTTTGATTTGGGCGCTAGGGATTGAAGCTTTATAATAGAAGGCAAAAAATTACACATTCTAGTTCCTTAATCTGAAAATTGAGCTAAATTGCTTGAGAGCTTCATCCTTTGTTGTACACAAACTTTGGAAAATAACCTAAAAAGGTCACGTTCGAAACACAGGCCAAAGAATAGGAACAAAGTAAAAACGTTCTTGTCCTTAAGGTTATGGCTTTTCAGAACTTCCTTTCTCTGAGCCCATTTTCACGCATCGAGGCGTTAAGCTCTTGAGTGGTAGACAAAGTGTAATGTACTCACTATTCTTAGAAACAGCGATATATTCCACAGGGTGAATTCTTAGAGGGTGAATTCTATATCTACAGTAATTATTTCTGTTACTATAATGAATGATGATTACGAGTCTCGACATTTCGGAATGTAGAATCAGTTCCATTTAACTACTTTCGCTAGTGTTTAACTAGCTATTCCTTAACGTCCACGATGTTCATGTTCCCGAAACCATGAAAAAATTTCTAGAGGATTTTAGCATGAACATGTATCTATTACGGTAGTTGAACAATATACTGAGAATACATAGCAATAATGCAAATGGTTACTTCCATTCAAAAGCAAAACCTTGGAGCCAAACCTAGACTGTCTGAGCCCATACTGTATCTTTTCCAATGCTTGACTAACTGATTTAAAGCGATAGAGTTTGATCCTTGACTGACTGATAATTTTCCTGATTAGTACTTTCTGTATGTCACATATCGTTTCTTACAAAGGATTCTCGCTTTCGCTAAGCCGCAAACGCCATAAAAACTTCAAGAACCATTTGTAGGTAATAATGCCGGCTGAAAGCGGTTTCGTCTCTTCAGATAGCGCCAGTGAGGAAGCAGTCGATCATAAGGTGAGTGACACTCCGTAGTTGGCGTAAGTAAAACACAATTTACTTTCATCATAATCAAAGAAAAAAGTCGAATGCATTTCGGACTACGAGTTGTAAATTTTTGCAATTTTGATCGAAAAAATTGACTTTTCCGACATTACCCGTACCTACTTTACAGCTACCTATCGTTTGCAGGTGATGACTGAACCGATGAAGAAGACTTCGAATCTAGAAAATATGGCAGCCGCGTATAGTTCCATCATTTCTCATGTTGGTGAAGATGTAAATAGGCAAGGACTTCTAAAAACGCCAGAACGAGCTGCTAAAGCTATGCTCTTCTTCACAAAAGGATATGAGCAGCAATTGGATGGTGGGTGTACGGTATCCCATTTGAGCTTATCAATTTCAGTATGGCTAATTATAGACATTCTCAATGAAGCGGTATTCGATGAGGATCACGATGAGATGGTTATAGTGAAAGATATCGAGATGTTCTCACTTTGTGAACATCATCTTGTACCGTTCAATGGAAAAGTGAGTCTACATAATTTATCCAAAAAGATTTGATTGCGATTGTTGTATTCAAGGTGCACATAGGATACTTACCCAACAAAAAAGTACTTGGATTATCGAAACTCGCGCGAATTGTGGAAATGTTCAGCCGGCGTTTGCAAGGTAAGTCTGAGCATCTTCCAAAAAAGTTCAAGTTTTTTGAAAGCGTCTTTTTTCCTGAGTCCTTGAATGACTTGCAAGAAAACAGGCACTATGCCTTCAAGACCTGTCAAATTTATTCTAGTTTACATAGTTGTTTTTCGCCAATTATCTTCATCTATCAGAAACTTCCAAAACCTCGGCCGAAGAAAAGTTGTAGAGCTTCAGAGAATCCTATTTAAATTGCAAGTAAAAGGAATAAGGACAATAGGCAAAACTCAGACAAAAATGTACTCGAATGTTTTGACAAAGCTTTGAATTTGGACAAATCTTATCGTTTGAATTCGTAGGTGAAAAATGGAAATTCCAGAACGAAGCGAGGGAGACTGAATTATTTGAGTCGACTCTTAATACCTTCATTTGTAGTGCAAGAGCGTCTGACAAAACAAATTGCAACGGCTATGGTCCAAGCAGTGCAACCAGCTGGAGTCGCTGTGGTAGTCGAAGCAAGGTAAGAACTGTTTCTTCATTGCCATCTGGCGTCTCCAGTTTAAGAAGTTCGAGACTTTTTGAGTTATCCTTTGATCCAAACCCAAAGACGAACAAGTTTTCACGGGGCTAATTAATATCTTAAAAGAATCAAAATATTCTAAAATAACATGTTATAACAAGTCACTTGACTAATTCATAACTCATGTAAGTATTTCCAAAAATTCTGCACCGTACTCTTGTTAGTACGGTTCGGGGAAGGGATTCCAGTGCCCGTAGTAAATCCCCGAAATATGTCGTAACGTAAAGAAACCGAGAACACGACGTGTCCGACTGAAGGACGTGCTGCTTGCGACCATGTTTTGGTCTCCACAAAACTTACGACCGCACGCGCGATCGAACGCGAATTTATTCAAGATAAACTCATCTTTCCCACATTACAAAGAATATGGTGACAGATTCTCAGAAAACAGAATAAGTTGCTGAGCGGGTCGACATTTGGGCGCGTAATACTGTTGTTATCAATTGCATTTGGCGTGGTGTTGGACCTAGTGCTGTGTGCCTATGGTCCTTGCGCACAGGACGAACACGGCGTACTCTCGACCACTAGTCGGTTGTTCCTGCTCTCCACGCTGAGCGCCCACTATTTCTCTGATCCTTAAGTGACGACGTTCATGACGTGCTTCCTCTGCGCGCGAGGACAGCACGTCCTCCAGTCACGACGTCCCGCGACTTCGCCGCGCAGCCATGGTAAGAGATAGGCGCGTGACGAATCGCGGCCGAAACGGCACGTGCTGGGTATGATGTTTCGAACGTCGCGACCCTCGCGACGGGGGGATTACTACGGGCTCAGACTCAATTCTCTCGCCCTTGATAGTCTGTGTGAACTGCCTCATGTGTAGTGGCTTAGTCGAAGCCTTCCATACAGCCAAAAAGCTCAAACTATTCTGCTTGAACACTGCATTCAGTGATTTTCTGCTTCCAAAGAGAGCAGCACCGATTTTATAAGTTTCCTCAGGGATAGGAACCACTATTAGTTTCCATGCAAAGAACACAAGCGCCCAGATTTGCCTAAACACTGTATTTAATGTGAATCTTTTTAGCCACATGTGCATGGTAATGAGAGGAGTGCAGAAAATCAACGCTACAACTTCAACATCCTGCATGCTTGGTGTATTTAGGTAAACTCACATCTTTCTTTAACAATATCAAGTTTCTTTGCCAATTCCAATTTTATTACAGGGACGATCCAAAAACGCGAGAAGAGTTTTTAAATCTCATCAACAAGAAGTAAATCCTGGTCGACGGCGCACTTGGTATTCATTACGGTATTTCTAGACATCTATTCAAGATAAAGTCGGTATCACGGGTCTAAGATCCGTTTCATGTATGTACTGTGTATGTGTAACTATCTCTAGTTGATGCTTTTTCGAAGCTGTTTTGGCATGTGATCATCCAGTGAATAAAATGTTCATCTGATAGAAAGTTTAATGTTCAATGAAGAGTGTGTCACTTTGATGAGAAGTAGCTGCAGATTTCGACTAGGCTGCTTACCCTTTCGGAAAAAAGACCTCAAAAAAGGCCCCATATATTTGAATCCTTGCAGCCTCCCCCAATGGAAAGTGAACATTGTCTCACATTGGAGGAAAGAAAAATGAGACATAAATAATAAAAGCAACTTTTGAAGACGAGGAAAAACGCTGCGATAAGTTCGAAACCTTTCGTTGAGGTATGTCAAGTCGCAGGTAATCGCTTTAGTGTCGTCCGTTCGAACTTGGGAAAAACGAGGGAAGACTGGTGTCTCTGTTTCATTTTCTCAAAAGCAGTCATTCGGAAGCTTCGGTGACCAAGAAGAAGATGAACAGACAAAAAATTTTGCTATGGAAACCAATAGTCTTGTTTTTCTAAAGTCAGAATGCGCGCCAATGCCGATCGTCCTCGAATTTTAGACTCCCTCCTTCTTCACAGTTTCGGGTGTTGTCTGATTTGTTTTGCTAACCATGCAAAAGTCCTAGTCACGTATAGAATTATATTATTATGTCGTTGAGGAACAAAGAAAAAATGCACTTTTCCAGCCTTATGCAAAATAAATATTTCTCCAAAAAAGCTTGACAACGATGTTTACGTCACAGACAAATGCAAGATCTATCAAATGCACGGAAACACCGCGTAAACAGAACTAAACTAGAGGAGAAGTAAGAAACATTCAAAAACATGGTTTTGCAAGCTTTTTCCAGATCAAAAATGGAGTTCGGCGACGTTGTAAGCGCAAAGATCAAGAGCTGCAAGATGACATGCAATTTGCTAGAATTAAGAACAACAGGGTACCTTAGTCAAGCGGAATAACGACGTTCTCGAATAACAGAGGCGCAGACGCGCAAAGGAAAAAGTGGAGAAGCGGCGAGACATTTGGCTCTAGTCGGGAATCTCTGCAAATTCTTAACAAGGCCCTGCAAACACAGAGATTTCTTGATGATACTTACTATGGACAATTTGGTACTATTTACAACCAGACTCGGAATTACGAACCTCAAAGTACTATCCTTCGAAGCTTGCTTCTCTAAGGATAACAAAAAGTTGAGTTGGAAACATCCTGAAGCGCAAAACCCACTTCTCTTTGAACAAGCCATGAATTTAAGTTTAGATTTTAGTAGTTAATCGAAATTTCGTTGATGTATGCGAAAACTTTTGCATCGATCTAATAAGTATAGTAGGTTAAATAGAATTGGCATGCTAACAGAATCTACGAAACTTCAGCGGATATTTGGCTCGAATTTTTTTTTTGCAAAAGTAGTACCGAAGATGAATTTTTTTACAATCGTTAACATGGACACCCGAACATAAATTAGCACAACGTCAGGGATTTCCAGTGTTGAGCCATTCAAAATCTGTGAAAAAATCGTTGAAAATGATGGGAAGCTCAATTCTTCGGTCATGACAAAGTTTTGCTCCAAAACAGTCAAAACCGCAATAAGTCATGTTTCTCATATTCCATATGGATTCTGTGTATGTACTCGATAGAGCGATGCAATCCCTACAAAGTAGCGTTTTGATTGGCATATTTGAACTATGCGAAGTTGTAACCAAAAACTAGAAAAACCCAACTGTTCAAAAAATCGAAAAAAAAGTCGAAACTCCGCCAGAAAAAAATTTGAAACATCTGCAGCTTGCTCAGTAGATACACCTACAATCATACGCACATATGTACACTTATCCCATATGAAAATCGAGAAGATGGAAGTTACCTTACGTCCGACAAAGCGATGATCACACTAGGGTTCCCTCATACTGCACCGCAGGACGCAGCAGCCTGCCGCAGCACGCGGCAGCAAGCCGCAGCACGCCGCGTCCTGCGGCGTGTCGCTGCAGTCGCAGTGAAAATATAGCTCGCTCGCTGTAAAGGAACACTCTCGGAGAACACGAACTGCAGCAAATATAGACATACATCCATAACCGGAATCTGTGCTGTTGTGAGCGTATATTTCCAGTGCACCTGCAGCAGCGCACGCCGCTCCTGCGGCGTAGCATGAAGGAATCCTAACGCCTCAAGGTCAAAAGATCGCTCAGTAATAAGTTTCTCTTCTATAATGCAAAGGCAACATGTTCCGAATGGTAGACTTCTAGACCTGTATAGTGGTAGAGGCGAAACAAAGTACCCCTTACATCAATACTTGCTATATTCATAATTTCTCCTCTGTCACTTTACATCCTTCACTATTTATCCAACACTTGAGAACTATCGTCCAAGCCTGCGCAACTTGTAATGAGATTAGCCAATGAGCGGGATGAGTGAGCGAAGCCGCCTAAAAAATGCAAGGGCGCCTTGGAGGGGTAAGTACCCGTATAAGGAAAGGCGGCGAGGCTTTGGGAACTCCTGGGCTGCCGCCCATTCTGTCCAGGAGTACTATCCGACTCAGCTAGGCAAGGCACATTGATGTGTAGGTGCAAAGCCTACGAGATTACGCTAGATATGGTCCCAATATACTTTTTAAAATCTTCTTTAGATGAATTAGTCAGTATGCTTGAAGGCAGTGTCCGGGCAAGATGGGAGTTTTGGGATTTCAGTGCCATGCGAGTGCCCCCTCCCCCCTCAAACACAACATCGCGCAAGTACGACGTCATAACGCTCGGCCTAAAGCAAGAAAAACGACTGGAAACTGGGGATTCTTACGCCTTGGGACTGGGCCCTTTGACCTGTTCGAGTTCCTGCTATGCGGAGGAGTACGCATGCCGCCGCAGTTAGAATGTGGAGTCCCGCAGAGACTCTGCGTCTCTGCCTTGATGGGGACCGTCAAATTTCAAATTGTGCAGCTTTGGAAAATGTATGTTCTTGCCGTTTTCGCGCCTTCTAATGCGGATTTTCGGATTCAGCGTTGCGGATAAACCCCGGTAAGTGGATTTTCTAGAAATCGGACTTTTGCCCGGACACTGCCTTTTTTATCTTCAGGAAAAGGGAAATCACGCACTTATAATAGGTCGGTGCAAAAATTTTCTCAGTTTTTTCAATCCATCGGCAAACACGTTGGAATGGAGATAAACGAAAACTTTAAAGTGTATTTGATGCAGAATTTCTTCCTCTTTCTAGCCGTTTAACTCATAATGTGTTTTGTTGGGAAAGTGATGAGATTGCTGGAATTTGCAAGCATTCGTTTTCACCATGTCCAACTTTCTCTAATTTTTAATATTTTTGTATAAGACTTTCGGAGGAGCAATAACCACCAAATAAGGCAAACCTTTTGCCAACTTATGCATTTTTTTCTTTTTTTCAGCTGCTTTTCCAGATTTTTGCTAAATAAATTTCTAAAAGTCTTGTGTTTTGAAAGAATTGCATAACCTATTACTGCACCAAACACTGCAAAACCTACATAATACTGAAGTTTTGAACACTCGATTATTACTACCGCTGCCATTACACACTAAATGAGCGATTTTGGATTCAAAAGATGAAGTTATTGGAAACTAGGGTACGTCACTGCGCACTCCTGAAAATGAGAAATACTGCGATTTTCTCCCACAAATTTCGCTTATCTCGGCAAAAAAGACAAGTGTAGAAGGAGGAGAAAAAGTTGCATCGAATGGTGAGTAAAGTGTTTGACATTTTGTGTTATACGAGGGTAAAAGAATAGGCTGAATGTAAAATTTGGTCGCTTCAGAAAATAATCTGAAAGGCAAGCCATAAGGCTACAAAAACTTGCTTCTGTTGGCAAAAGGTTTGCCCTATTTGGCGGTTATTAGGGCTTCTCCGAAAGTCTCATACAAAAATTCTGAAAATTAGTGAAAGTTGGGCATGGTAAAAACGAATGGTTGCAATTTCCAGCGAATATCTCATCACTCTGTAAATGAAACGCAATGGGAGTTTAGAGCTGGAAAGAGGAAGAAATTCTGCATCGCATACATTTTGAAGTGTTTGTTTATCTTCATTTAAACGTGTTTGCCGATGGATTATAAAAAACTGACAAAACTTTTGCACTGACCTAATATTTTTCGAATCTGCTTTAAATAACAAAATTCTTTTGTTTGCTTTCAGAAGCTGCTACCCTCACTATGAATTGATTTGTAACTCACTCGAAATTGCGTGTGAATTAGTCGTAAGATGTGAAGTCACTCAGACAATCATGCCTGAGGTGTAGATTTAATTCACCAAAGCTGGATATCCAGGAAACACTCGGTCATCCATAGGTAAATCAGCAAACCTCTTGAGTTTTACGATCAAAACATGCTGTTCATGACTGGCAAAAAAAAGAAACAAGAAAGCAAAACAAAATTCTGTAAATAGTCACACCCCAGTTTGCAACAAGCTTATATCATCAGAAGTTGCTTTCACTTGACTGAACATGGCCATGAACCAGTGCTAGAGCTGTACCGCAAAAAATTCGTCCATCTTGCCATAGGCGGGGCTAATGGTGCGCACCTTATTGACACCGCTTGCTTAAGCGCGCGCTATCGTTCATAGAGTCCGCCACCCCTTTGCAGCTTCAAAGATAATGGTAACTCGTCCTGGACGTGAAAGGTGCTGTTCGGGCGGGTTGCAAAAGTGGTTGCAGGAGCCAATATTTCAATTGCCATCAAGATGGGTACGGTGTCTTCACTCACGAGCCAGTCGCGCACCTAGAGGGCGAGCTTAAGTCGTCTGCCCAAAAGGCAGTTTTCACGACTGCGAAGTACAGACTTGGGCTTAGCTCATCCAGGGGAAGCGAGTACGAAGAATATCCCATAGTTGTCATTCTGCCGAGCCGCTGCCCTTTAATCTGCACGCTATATAAGTACCTAGGTTGAGTCTGCGTAAAGTGTGTTTTTTTAGTCTGTGTGGTTCTGCACCAAGGTATCAAACACACTTCCACAGTTGGTTTCGCTGAAAGAGTTTTATTGAAGACTCACGAAAGCCCGTTGTTTACCGCGAGCAGTGTGCAAGCGCAACCCCCGTATTGAGCTACGAATGACTTGTGCACGGTTATTGGACCAGCGCATCGAATTGCCACACGAGAAGGTCTGAAAACAGATCCATGCGAAATAACTGTACCACGCTGCTACAGTATATAAAATGCATTCAATACCAGATTGAATGCATTTTATATACTGTAGAAAAGGCTACAAAAAATACAAATAGGCTGTATAATCATCATCGACCCCACGCCTGTTTGCCTTGCGATGACGCTGTCGCATGCGACGTGACTTAACGCGTAGCAGAGTTGCGCGTCGCACCGTCCCTTCGCTATTTGTCGCAGGTGCGACCCCGCATGACCGGTCCTGATTCTATACGACCTATAAATATTATCAGCACTCTAATATTCATCCAAACTAAGATTTAAAGCTTAAAAATTGTACTTACCTTGTACCTACCTTATCCCCTATAGTATATCACTTATACAGAATGTAAAAAAAATGTGAACACTGTTTGATCGTAAACAACGCTCTTGCTTTCACGTCTTTCGCCGTGCTCGAGGTATCATTCTGTAGAGCGGGGTCCAACTTAGATTTACAATATGGATTTAATCAATTCTTTATTACTGTAGGATTAAGGTATGAACTTTCAGCATGAAGCGCTATCATGGAATAGGTCTTTTCATGGAAAAAAATTCCAAAACATCTGAAAATTTATGTACTAAGGTTTTCGGGCGTGCTGATTCCAGTGGAAAACTTTTCGCCAGTTTTTTGAGCTTTTTTCATGATGTAATCACACTTCTGACGAACATCGGAAAAGCAGATATCACCCTAAACCTGAAACAACTTATGAAAGAAGCATTACAGTGAAGTGCAAATTTCATATTTATAATCAGCAACTTCCATTAGTCCAGTATGAAATTTATGGCTTGTTTGGTTTTCTTTCTGAGCCAAAAATCGTTTTCACTTTACTGAAATCTCTCAAAGCTCATACCGTAATCCCTACTAATAAAGAGTTATTGATTATCGATGATTCTTTCCATACGTAAATCTAACAAGAGACCCTCGGTCGAAGGGGGTTCTCACACGTGGTGCATATCATTGTGCTGGTCTAGGGGCACTAATAACAAATCCGTGCTCCTTAGCTGCTCAATGGTCTTCTGGGAAAAGTTGAAGTGATGGTCTCTTCAGGGTGACCACGGATCGCTAGTTAGCGGCCCCGAGTAATGTCAGTTGTGGGAAAATGGCCCGGGATAGCTGCAGAGACTATAGAGGAAATGAAAAAACGTTCGGAATACTTATATTCCAAACATTGTTGCATTTTTGCAAATTATTCAACGCGTGCCGGGTGTTTATCTGCCTTAGCAGATAAACACCCGGCAACACCCCTCTACGGATACATAACAAACAATATAATCTACGAAATGGAAGAATGTTTGGAACATAAGTATTCCGACTTTTTGTCGCTTCCTCCATAGTCTCCACAGTTATCCACTCGGCCATCTTTCCAACAACTGACATCTCTTGGCGCCGCAAACAGAAGCGATCGTTCTTATCCCGGGGATGTCATCGCTCATAACTTTTCCCAGAAGATCATTGAATCATCTGAGGAACAGATTTGTTGTTAGTGTCCAAGACCTGCACAATGATATGCATCAGGTGTGGAACTCGACTTCAGCCGAGAGTCTTTGTAAGTTGACCCTCGCTCTTCAGCATAATACCTCAAGGTCGGCGACTTGAAAGCAAGAGAGTTATTAACAATCAAACAGTGTTGACATTTTTGGGACACCCTTTATATAAGCAAGATGCGCCTCGCCGAGCTGAGTCGAGTGGTTTTTTGAATTCAGAACCTGGAAACTTTGAACCGAGATAAGGCAATTTCGAAGATGTTCGCGAATTTTTTATTCAGTAAACAAATTTATCTAATCGCTAGGCCTTGCAGAAAAAAAACAAAGAGTGCATGTGCTTATATTGTGATGCTCAACCTCGTACAACACGAAATATAGGCTGTATCCAAGGGCATGCTTTATGCAACACCGCGTTTGCAGCAACTACTGATGTGCGGGAAGTGAGCATAATGTCTGAAGGCTGAAATTGAGAGGGTCGGACACACTTGGTTTTGGATCGGAATGTGATTCGGTAATAGGGAATCGTAAATCTATGAAATTTGAAAACAGTATGTATTCGAAGAATCAGAAGTATCTGAATTGAGTTGCTTCCACACCGACTGAAACAGCCTTAAGTCGTTCCCTGCTTACTTTAGTTTTCGGTAATATTAGGTTGGTCCGAAAGTTCTGTCCCACCATTTTCAAAAAATCGTAACTTCTTCCTAACACAATGTTCTTATACTTAAAACCATGTTGAAGAGAGCAATTCATGCGCTTTCTGAGACTTCCTTGGCTGCTATCTAATCAGCTCCGAAAGCAGAGATAAAATTGGGAAAACGAAATCACTTCAATGCGGAATTTTGAAGCAAGCCCGTTAAAAATTCCAAAACTGTGTCAGATAATCCGAATCAACCGTATCCTAAACTAGTCACCTCCTCTTTCTGGCTAAGCAAAGTTCGCTTTGATCGAGCTGCTCTTCGAAAAGTTATGATCTTTTGAAAAAAATGTCAAGAAAATTTTCTTGAGAAACTGATTTTTTGGCATTTTTTCTTACAAATCATAACTTCTTTCGAAAAAGCTCGATCAGCGCGAAATTTGTTCAGTTGAAAAGAGGGGACCAAAAAACCTAGGATACTGCCTGTTTTGGATTTTATGGTACACTTTTGGATTTTTCAACGGGCTTGCTTAAAAATTCCAAAATTGAAGTGATTTCCTTTTCCCAATTTTATCTCTGCATTCAGAGCTTAGTGAATAGCAGCCAACATAGTTTTAGAAAGTACATGAATTGCTCTTTTCAATTTGGTTTTATCCATGCAAAACATCGTGTTAGGAAGAAGTTACGATTTTTTTTTGAAAATGGTGGGACAGAACTTTCGGACCAACCTAATAGATATAAGAGGCCGTAATGTGACTGAAACGACCTATTAGTCAAACCTATTCCCGTCTACCGAGGCGTCTTTCCGATCTTGCCCGAATCAGTTCATAGCGTCATGCAAGGATTCAAAAACGCGCTCCAATTGCGAAGATGCTCGCCGTCAGCTGCAACTTCCAAAAAATGTAGTTTTGCACATTGTGGTTTTCGTGTCAATACTTAGCGGGCTACAGAATTACTTTTTGCAAAATTATGAAAAGGATGATGACCTGTTGAGAAATTTAGTACATGCGAGCTCGCTCGTCCGCCGGTTACGAAGAAGAGGCCAGATAAAGAGGATAAAGACTTGTTTGTCTTGCAGGAAGCCTAGCAAAATGCGATGAATAGTTGCGGTAAGCGCTGAACAAGACACCACATGGGCAAAGGGGGTGAAAAATGTACATCACATTGTTGTTACACACGTTGTGAAGATGTGTTGTGAAAGTGGGGTAAGTGCTTCGTGTTGGGTTTCCGTCCGGATTTTCTTTCACAAACAGTTGCCTCATATGGAGAAAGCAGTATACCATCGCTATTTCAGCAAAAGTGTCTCCTTGCAAATGCGAAACAATTTGCTTTAAATCAACAAATTATTACTCATAAGCGAAGCGAGAAGAAGGCAGTAATTAAAATCACCTAGAATGCTTGAGTTGGGAACAGTCAACATCCAAGAGGTTCTTAGGTTACAGAGCCAGCAAGTTGCGCCACCGAGCTCATTTGGGAGCATGTCAAGAAATGCATCCTTTAGATGCATTTCTTGACAGGGATTAGACTGCCACGGTTTTGAAACCTTCAGAATGGTCTCACGAAACTGAAAGTAATTCTAGTGAAAGAAAAAAACGGTGCTGATTTAGAGATTATTACGACGCAACTAACAAATTTGTCTTACAAGAGAAGCTTGTTTAGTCGAAGTGGCCTTTCTAAATGAAGTGTGTACCATACTAGGCATAAAACGCTGATTCTAAATCCGCCTTCCTTACTTGCAGAAAGTTTATAGACGAGGAGTTATAAGCGTTTTTTGGAGCCAAAAATTGAATTGCATTTGGTTTTATTTCAGAGTATATTCAAATAAAGTACTCTTATGATTATCACGGGTCCATCGAAGAGCTAGAAAAAGTATTACGGCTATTTTTGTTCTACTTGCACACATTGAATTTTTTACACCAATAAGCGCTCATAACTCCTCTTCCATAGACAAACGTTCTGCAGATAAGGAAGGCAGATTTAGAAGCAGCATTTTATGCCCTTCACTATAGTATAGAACCCATCTAAAAAGGCCACTTCGACTGATCGTGCGTTCCTTGTCAGTACTTTTTTGTGGAAAATGGAAATAAAGATGTTCTTCTAGTGTTTGGTCCTTGTCCTGCTCGTCTCCTTGTATGCACTTTTCTCAGATTTCACAATGCTGATACAGTTTATATGGATTGCTTTGGCTATTATTCTGGTTCCGAAATGCCATCACAGTCAGCTTATGACCAGAGGAGCACTGTACTAAACTCCTAACATGCATAGAAGTGTAATCAAAGTGATGCTAAGCAAATACACAACATTATAATTTATTGATGCATAACAAAATCTCAAGGCTAGCGTTTTTTGTACAAACTACAACGAAAGTAATAAGTTCAACATTGGCAGTGAAATTAGACCTCCTTTTGCGTAAGTTGCGTGTGTTCATTGATCTCAACGCGGTCAATGCGCGAGACAATCTGGAAGACGAGATTTGGGTTTGTACAAGATTTTGAGGCAAAATCTGTGTTTTAAGCCTAAGGCATACCTCCCGCGATTCCAGTCGCGTCGCAGCGATTTCCTACTCGGACATATGTTCCGAGACCACAGCGCACGAGATGTGTTTAAATTGACGATGCTACGAATCGCGGGCGTTTTTTGGGCGGGCAAACTCTCAGCAGGGATATCGCTGCGCATCGCTCAAATTCAGCGATGTCAGCGTCGTTAATTTTGCACTAGCGATTGGCGAGGCTCGGTTGGCTTCCTCTTTGGAAGTTTTGTGTTTTTTGCACATGCGAATCCCATTTAGAACTGTTTTGTTCTACACAATCGCTTCCTCTCTGCCCGAGAGACCTTAGAAACAACTCGTGCGAAGTATATAGTATAGAATGCCTCCCATATGTCACCTTACCCTCTTTGTTAGCATTTACTCTTCTAACGTACTTATGTTTAATCGTTCGCAGATTGGCAGACAAAAGAGCTCGCAGCACTCGTTGTTAAGTTGTTGAAATACGCCTACCCAGAGTTTTAACAGGGCCGAAAGCATAACCCTGATGTTACGAACCTAACATAAATTAGGCTGCTACATAAGTTCTGTCCGATTTTTTTGTCCTATGTTTGAAGCAGCTGTTCTTAGAGAATTTCATCTCTAATGCGATGCTATTAGTATCTTTTAGAAAATGCTTTTCTTGCTCTTTCTAAAGCATTTCATATTTTATTAAATTTTTCAAAAAAAAATCTCCATAATGCGCCCTTCAAGTCAAGTTCTTTTATTAGTTGCGAAATAAGGGTGTAGAAGGCAAGTATATGCAGAAGCTGAGTTTCATGAAGGATACGTCCTGCTAGTAAGATTTATCGTCGAACGTTGATTGTCTGTATAAATGTTTTACAAGCAATAACTTCTTGCGAATAGAAGTAATCGATGAGTTCAAAGTTAGCGATGCCAGAGTGAAGCAAGAGCTAGCAGGGCCCATCCACCAATTCCTTTTCGGCACTCACGTCTATTGTAAAAATTTTATAATTCGTAATTAGGCATGCATACATGTGTTGAAGCGAGGTCAAAAAGTGGCTTCTTTTTTGCTCGGTCAGAAAAATCTCTCGGGAACGCAGACCCTATGAGCTCTTTCATGTAAATAATCTACGAAAAGTTCGCTATCTACCCATTGTTAGAAAGGATGCCTACAGTCTGCCCCAATCGGGATCAGGCCGTACCGTCGGCTGAATTTGCGCGCTCGCAGCGCTAGGAAATTGCGCTGCATACGCGCGCTGTCGCAGAGAGTGAAGAGATCGAGGAGAGAGCAGACTAGCTAGCCGCAGATGTGGCGCGAAACGCTCGCGGCGCGGATCCCGCCATGCCGATTTTGGCCTGGTTAGGATTGGGGCAGACTGTATATTCTCATAAGGGAGCATTGCCATGTCAAAAAAGACAAGTTTGAAGAAAGACGCTGTGAAGTTTTTGAATTCTCTTCTTCTTCAACATGGATTTTCGCAAGCCTCAATATGTGTCTGATGGCCAAGGAACTGCTCTCAACACACAGAAACTAAGGTCTTGAAAAGTCGACTTTGAAAGAAGTTATGACATTTTGAATTCAAAAAATTCAAATCGGACAGACTTAGGCTCCCGCCAGAGTGCCGAAGTTATGCCAGCGCTACGCCAGCATTTCGATCGATACACATGTATTTCGTTGGGGACGTCAGCTAGCCCCGCCCAACGAAATACACGTGTATCGATCGAAATGCTGGCGTAGCGCTGGCATAACTTCGGCACTCTGGCGGGAGCCTTACGCAGCAGCCTAATATGCCTACCAATAACTGAAGGAGTGAATTCAAAACACTTTATAAACTAGGAGTCGATTTTATTGTAAATGTTAACTTGCGCCTATAGAAAACATTGGCAATTCGTATTATAAGTAGTACGATACGTAATACGATTCGTACTCATCCTAGCTGATAGTATGAGTACGAATCCATATAATTCCTCATTTGATGTGATGTTTTCTGAAAGCATATGGCGCCGTATTCTGTTCGTTTCCTTGAATAAATGCACTTACAATCTAGCGCAACCAAAACTGCGTGTACGCTTTGTGATATGTGAGCGTCTATGAAATCGTTTTGGGCATGTCCGATAATCAAGCGATAAGCGATTTTCACGCAATGAACGGTCGTCCATGCAGTCTAACCGCAGCAATTGAGAACCGTAAAACGGCGGGATCGCTGGAGGTATGACTTAGGATTTATAGATACTAAGGCTCACTCTGGTATTGAAGTCGTAGTCAGCAGGCGTCTCGAAATAGTCACCATCGGCATAGAACTCTTTGTCTCGCACTTGATTGAACGCCTTCATTTTCAGAATGAAACCTGGAACAAAAGAAACATTAAATGCATGCTAATACAGTTGAATTTACTGACCTGTTACCATGCCTGAGACTATAGATCCGACCAAGACTAAACCAAGTCCAATAAGCTGATTCACTGCTTGTCCTCCAGCAGTGATGCCATTGAGGTTTGTCTCGCTCTTCATAGCAGGATAGATCTCATTTAGGCTGCAACGCGCGAGTCAGGTAATGTACATGATGCTTTTTTTCTTGGTTTTGTTTCTTAAGGTATTCGATAGTGCTGTAATATCGGGGCATGAAATCGACCTCTAGCAAGAATTACTTATTGGATTACAGAAGGAAGATGGAAAAATGTTCATATTATATGTAAGAATATTTTAAATGCGATTGCACACAATCAATAAAGCGGCACTTCTTTACAAGCTTCAGTACACTTTTCTACAATTATTCTTACACGCGCTTCTTATTTTCTGCTTTATTTGTACCAGTTTGATCTTACACTGCTCTAGAATAACAGTGCGATTTTCAAAAAATTATTTAGGTACCGAGTTCTAGCTTGAAAGTGCGTGGTAACAAACTAGGAATATTTGTTGGCACTTCGACCCTTCTTTCGAAATTGTCAGCAACATAGTATAACTACTCTCTTTTAACAAGTACCTCTTTCCATATAATGCTGGGTCGTACGCCACCACGAAAACGGCTGACATTAGTCCAGCAAATACTCCAGGCATACCATGTAGATTGTTCACACCGCAGGTATCATGACAGCCAAATTTACTGCTAAGCATCGGCTACAAGGAACTTTGCATTTTTACGAACGATATGTTTTATGTCAAAAGTGCCTACCGTAATGTATTTAAATCCAACGACAGACAGAGCTCCAGCTGCTACACCCATCAACATAGCATGCAGAGGCTCAAGCACCACATTTGCGATTGAACCGATAGCGACACCACCAGCCAGCGTAGAGTTTGCAATATGCACCATGTCAAATTTCTTCTGCAAAATCTTGTTTGACAGGAATCACTTTCAAAATTTGTGGCTTACGTGCTTGTCGACAGCTTGGGAGAAAATAAATGTGGTGATGGTACATGCACAAAGTGAGAGGAATGTATTGACAATAGCTCTTTGACGGGCATCAGCTGGGGAAGCGGCTGCAGCGTTGAATGAGGGCCAGAATACCCACAAGAAGATCGATCCTGAAAGTGATGAAGCAAGATTGTATTGGCCTTAAACATAAAGTCGCAGCATCTCTTTTTGAAACCATTCAATTGAGTATGCAAATTGCGAAGTTCTTGCTGGGATAGGTAAGTTTCTGGCGAACTTTAACGAAAAATTTTTTACTTTGATTCACAAATGCATTGTGAAGAACTTTTACCAATTTCAGCGTAGATGTCCGAATGATAGATTGATCCTTCGTTTTCATGTTCCCTCTGGGCTTTGGTCGCGAAGGCTTTGGAACATGCTAGGCCAAAGTAGGCACCGAATGCATGAACAACCATAGAATCGCCAACATCATTTACCTAGAAGTTTCATCAAATACAAACTGCTGAAATCTAGGATTTCTTTACAAGACCGCGATCTAAGTTACTTACATGGAAAGTGTGGATAACGTGATGCTCGACAAATAACGCAACGGCAGTCTCAATGAATGCCATGACGACGAATTGGGTTGGAGAAAGTTTACCAAGCATGGCTCCCATCGTAATTAGGATTATGGCAGCTGTGAAATCGGCAGTCAGCAGCCTTAAAAAGCTTTTATTCACAAGCCAATCCTTTTTAGAGGTTTTGAATTGAAATCTATGTGAAAGAAGGAATTGCAATATAAAAATCAAGTTTTAGACTACTTCCAAAACTGTCTTTCCATGAAAGTAAGTTTCGCTGAAGCTGACAGCTCAGTAAGTATTTATTTTAGAATTGCAAAGTCAGTGGAAGTATAAAAGCCTTTCTTTACTGAATGGCCGTCATTTCGGGCAGATTGATTTACTACTTCTTAGTCCTTGCAATCGCGCATACTTTTGCATTGACTATAACCTACTCTTCCAAGCCGATTGTGAACTTCCCCGTTTCAGCAAATCCATGACTCAAGAATCCTTGTACGATTATTCCCCATTCGATGGTAAAAACAGCCAATAACAAATTTATGGATATTGCCGAAAAGCCGTATCGCTGAAATTTTACGTATTATCATGAAATGTTAATTGAAAGTGAGATACCTTGAGAAAAGTCATGAGGAAGCCAAAGCCGATGAATATCATGACATGTGTATCTTGGAACACTGAAACCACATTAATTTGTAAGGATAAATATATTTTCTGCCCCTTGTATGTAGAAATGACATACTTGGATACAATCGCGCCGTATACACGTCATCCTCTGAACCACCTGGCAGTACGTTCGCATCATATTTTCCGAATAAACCAAAAAGAATCAAAAACACAATCTGAAATATGAGAATAAAAAATAAAGTATGATTATTACAAAGATCTTTGACCTGTGAAGCGCTGACTAGTATAGTGAACTGGTGCTTTTGAAAAGCTGACGCCATTCGTGGATCCCTAAAATCGTAATGTCATTAACATCCTCGAAGTAAGTTGGGTTAAAATTTCAAAACACTGTCTTTTCATGAAAGGATGACTGTCAAGGTAGAAGGAAAACATGCGGCGCTTTAAAGGCACCTGTTGTGAGATTGATGCAGAGTTCTACCTTCACCTAGATACTCTCGACTCTCGAAGAAGGTCTACAAAAAATTTGGTGTTTAAGAGAAGTAAGCGGATAGATTATGTTGTACTTTGAGGAAGAATAAGAGTCGTAGTAAGTAAAAGTTTCGCTTCACAAAAATTTGTAACCATTGAACTCTAAGGGAAGATGATGACTGGAAACTAGTATAACTCAATTTTCCAACAGTGTAAAATTTTTCAATTACCAGCAGTCAAAAAGTGACCTTCAATTAATTGTTCAGGATTTCTTCCTCTCTTACATTTGCAACAGTATTGTTAAGAAAATCATTTAGTGAAACTGAGGTAAGCTGCACACGAATGGATAAAGCATAAAAGCTTTACTAGAAGGTCAATAAAAACTTTGCAAAGAAAAATCACAGGTAATCCCGGCTTGATTATTATAAGGTCGTCCCGAAAGTATTTTCGCTTTTTTCAAACAATCGCCACGGTCCGCAGAACAAACTTCCTTAGAAGATCTTGGAAGCTTTTTGATGCAATTTTTTATGCTCTTTCAAATGGTTATCTTTATATTGTAATTTATCCAACGAGCTCTCAGAAAATTACCAAAAACTGCGACCCACGCTTTTACCAAGGTCAAGTTTTGCTATTTTTCTAAATTCCTGTAGTGATTTCCGAAGGAGTTCAAGTGACCTTTAAATAGAGCAAACAAAGTAGGATATAAAACAATTTCCGCCCCTTCCAAATCTTACTTTACAAAATTTTTAGAAATATTTTCTGATGCTATCAAATTCTATATTTCGTCAACTTAAACCTCATAGAGCATCACTCGGGAAGCAACTCGGGTGTTATTCGATGCAGCACCTTCTTCTCTTTCAGAGAAATGTTTTTTGTTTCTGATTCGTAAGCTTTTAGAGGAAAAAATCGACAAAATTCATGTTTTTGATGGCGCCCCAAGATGTACCCGAAAAATTCAAAATCTGATATTTCGAACCTGGAAACGCTCATTTGTCTCGTAAAATTGGTAATAAATCTTAATCTATCTTTAAGAGTATCAGAAACTGAAAATTTATTAGAGTTTGACGATTCTGCGTCTGGTATGGGTCTGCTAAAATTCGATAGTGTTGTTTAAAATTTTGTCAAAAAATTATGGAGAGTTCTGGGAAGGAGAAAGAAATTGTTTTGCATCCTATTTCGTTTGCTCTATCCGCAAGTTACTTGGGCTTCTTCCGAGAATCAGTACAAGAATTTAGAAAAATAGCGAAACTTGACCTTGGTAAAAAGCGTGGGTCGCAGTTTTTGGTAATTTTCTGAGAGCTCATTGGTTAAACTACAATATAAAGATAACCATTTGAGCAAAAGCATAAAATATTGCATCAAATGCTTCCAAAATCTTCTAAGGATGTTTGTTCTGCGGACGTGGAGATTGTTTGAAAAAAGCGAAAATACTTTCGGGACGACCTAATATATAAAGCTGAATGTCTGTTTGTTTCGTCTGTCTATATGTTTGTCTGTCTATGTGTACGTGTGTTGATCCGGATCAAATTTTGCACACATACACTTTGAGGCAGGCCGGATGTCATAGGCTAATTTTCGTTATCGATTAAATCGATTTTATAATTTTTTTGCGAAGCCACGGGGCTGGGAGTTGGCACAGTAGGGGGGGGGGGGGGTAATCGAGCATGCTGGTAACTAACACAGCGGGAATAGGCATGTAGAAGTGGACACATGAGGTTGTACAGGGAAGGAATAAGACCTTTATCTAGTGTTCTGACAGGGCCGTGCGGAGCCGGGTAATCCAGCTAGAAAGCCACTATTACAGTTGCAGCGGTGGAATTTGTCCAAAACTGCGGGATTGTCGGGATTCGCGGGATTGTCGGGATTCGCGGGATTCGCGGGATTCGCGACTTCGCGGGATTTGCGGGATTCGCGGGATTTGCGGGATAAGCGGGATTTAGCTATAACTTCTTTTAAAATAGCTTTATTTGTAATCTGAGTGAAGATTTGGCTTCAGCTTGATGAGACGAATCTTTTGATCTACGCTATGTCCGTAGTTCATAGTGACGGGGTAGACATACAATGATAACTTGTTGTTTTCTACGTTAAGGCTTTTGTGAACATTTATCACAGTGTAAATCGCGTATAGGAGGTTCTGGTACGAAGCTCTCGTTATCGAAAACTATCGCAAAAATTGGGCAGTTTTTATCTACCCTTATCGCTGATATAAGCATTTTACCATTTATCACTGATAATAACACATTTTTGGATCATTTTTTGCATATGGTAAGGAAAGTACTGTAGGAAAAGCTGTGTGAATTTCTATCGCTCTTTCTCTCATTATAAGTGATCTACAGGCTTTTCTAGTTCTATTGCTCGGTGCAATTGGTAGATCCCTCGCTGCAGCAATCGATCGATTTTTCATCGGCACATGCCATTGCTGCCAATTCTTACCTAGAATGGCATTTTTGCTTCAACTCGCTTCACGCCTGGGCTGAAATTCTGTACCTATATGGAAGATGAACGTGGAAATCGACCGCATGAATTTAAGCCATTCTTATCTGTCGTTGTCATTGATATCATCATTTTATCATTTATCACTGACGACACAAAATT